CTGCTAACAAAAGAGTAGTATCAGTGAGGAGTCTGATCCATTAATCCTTTTTCTAGGCTTCTCCATATTCAGGCTCTGTAAAATTGTTGGATTTTTGATAGCTACATATGATTACGGCATGGTTTGCAGCTTCAAGCGAGAGAAGAGGATTTTCCATTTGATAAAATGGATGACTTGTTGAAGAATAAGACGCTCGCAGTTCACGCAGCTTCAGCCACGGTGTCCGTGGGACTTGGCACTGCTCTTACATACCCGCTTGACACTCTCAAAGTCTTAGAACAGGTAAAAATCTGTGATTCTCTCTCTCTCTCTCTCTCTCTGTCCCTCTACATCTCCTCCTCCCTTGCTGTTATTGCTGTTGCTTAGCTTCTGGGATTGCATTACATGGTTAGAGCGATTCAATTGCTTATACTTGGTATTTTATGCGTATGAATTAAAAACAGGTTGGTTCTAGCTCTAGGAAGTCATTGACTTTTGCTGATGTTCTTCATAGAGTTCAAGCATTCTCTGGATATTCAGGTAAATTTTAGCTGCTATCCTTTTCCAACAATTCAGATGAATTAAGTTCTTGCTTTCAGTTGACTGGGTAAAAGAGTGAGAACTAAGACCTACTTCATCTCATAATAAACAACAATATGAGGAGAATTACAAATGAAATTTGTGGGGTTTTCTGCTGTTAACTATCTGTGGGCCATAAAAAACGTGCAAGAAACTTATTGTGAGCTTAGATTAATTTGTTAATGGAATCTCATGTTCAGAGTTTAACTTGGCATGCGAGTTTGTTGATGAACTTGATTTCTCGCTCGCTCAAAAACCTTATAGTGGTTGCATTCTCGTTCCTAATGGAATACTCAGAGTGAATTGAATTTTAGCCTCTTTTTATTGGTTCGTTCCACACTTTTTCTTCCAACATTATCTTATACCTTGTCGCTGTATCTTATACTTTGTTCCGTTGTCATCATTGTTTTTGTAATGTGTTTTAGGCTTGTATAATGGCATTGGATGGATGACCTGTGGAAGAACATTGGGTCTGGGAGCTCGCTTTGGTGTTTATGAGATATTGACAGCTTTCTACAAAGGTAAATGTACTTTTATGCATTTCTTTTAGTTCTAGTTTCTGGCCAACTATGTTGCTTGTTCTCTATGTTCTTATAATTAACTGTCAGACTGTATAAGAGATGAGAGGACCTGGTGAAGGAGTAAAAGTGACAAATGATGTTAGGTGGTCGAAGTTGAAGGAAAATGTGGCATTTGGTTTAGTTATATGGTATATTATTATTATTATGATTATGATTATTATTATTATTATTAGATGCTGCTGACAAACATCCTTGTCTGTCTGCATAAGAGCTCGCACGATCACATGTTATTGTACATGACCGAGTCATTAGGGCATGCTTGTTTATAGATTTTTTATAGTTTTGATTGATTTTTTTGGTTAATCATAGTTAATTTTGAAAAAGTTGGTTGAGTTAGGTTTAATTGGGGTTTTGAATTTATATTAAAATAATATTTAAAATAAAATGATTAAGTAGATTTGATGTAAAAGTAGGACAGAAGTGATGGGAAGTAGTAGATAGTTAAAATTGTGTGAGTGGATGAATAGTGAATTAAAGTTTATTTGATTTGCAAGGATGATTGGTTGGTATTATTTAATTATATTGATAATATTGATGATAGTGGAGGTTGAGTTAAAGTTGAGTTAGATTTGAGTTTGGATTGTATTTTTTTTGGGAAAAATTTATAAAGAAGCAAGCTCTTAATGTCTTGTGGCTGGGGCATATTATAAATATTCACATGCGCACTCACTTGTTTTCTAACCAGATGGCCGTGAAGATGATTATACACATGTCTCTGAGGCGCTAATGGCCGGATTTGCTGCTGGCATGGTGGAATGTCTCGTAACCTCTCCATTCGAAATCATCAAACTCCGTGCTCAGGTGGCTTCTGCTTCTCGCATTGTGCAGCCTCCCACTTTTTCCGAGAAGAACACCATTTCACCTTTAGTCTCGAGATTGCTGCCCAGATATTCTCTGGATATGACGGCAATGAGTAACTCTGTCGGCCTTCTGTCCACTTTGACCCCGAAATACACGAATATATTTGATGCTCTGAAAGGATATCCCTGGATGATGACAGGATCCGCAAAGCCACCTGCCGTCAGTAGTGTGAGTAAGCCATCTGAAATCCTCTCATTGGAAGGATGGCCTGCTCTGTGGCGAGGACTTAGGTCAGGTTTAGTCCGGGATTCTATTTTCGGCGGCGTATTTTTCTCGAGCTGGCAATTTTTACACCAAGTGATGCTGAACTGGAAGGCTGTGGGGATGGATCCTATACCCAGGTTTAATGCTCATCTTTTTTTGATTGTACATTGATATTGTTGAGGTCGATTAATCTAGGATTTAGCATGACAGAGTGGTTCCCTGGCAATTGGCATAAGTATCATATGAGGTTTATTTCTTGTTTTAGCATTCGTATTTTGGAACCTGAAATCTTTAGTAGTTGTAGCTGGTTAACGAGAGGTTAAACTATTTTTGTCAATTTTGGGATATAGCTGCAACATTTTTTAGCATTATCCATTTTTTCCCCTCTTACTCTAGAAGATGTTGAACAGGTATGATTATGAAGTTGGTCCATTGTCTCCAGTAGCTCTCAGTCTTGCAGCTGGAGTCTCCGGTTCAATTGCAGCTGCTGCTTCCCATGGTTTTGACACAACCAGAAGTCGGTCACAGTGCACAGTTCTCCCCAAGGTATGGTGCTCGACTAAAGTAGGGTTTTTCCGAACATTAATTTCTGAAGCAAAAATATTATTTCCCTTTTTTCCAACGCGTTTTTCGGCTTTCCTTTTTTGTTTATCTTTTCATTTTTGATGTGTACAAGCGACAAGCGTGTGTTTCATCGGTGCAAAATCGATTGTATAGGTAACATTTTTCTTTCCCTAAATGTAAATGTGTGGAGCTTATGCAAATGTAATGTGATTGTTGATCGATTTAGCTGAAACTCTAAGCTATGACCAAGAAACTTAATGACCGCCTAGGGGTAGAGTTTGAATAGGATTGGAGAGTAACATCATGAAGTGCATGTTAACTGACAGAACTATTATGTGTTCTTTCTCATGTACAAAAGCTAAGCAATGTATGAACTATTTTGAAGAACAAATAGTCCGCTTGGTATGTGTTCCCCCTTTAGTTTTAAAAACATTATGGGTTGGAAAGTGTTGATGTATATATTTGGTAGGTCAGGGAATCAACTAGTGGCTGATTGTGATCCCATAGGTTACCCTTGATTGGTTTATGTCCCTTCTTTAGTTTACACCTAAACTTGTGTGTGTGTATACTTTGTACTCTTATGATATAAAATATAGAAATCAATTCTCTACATGCTAACGGAGCTAGTTGGGTTCCAAAAAAGGAAAAAAGGCTTTCAGTCATTTCTCTGTTGCTCATGAAAATTTGAAAATCCATTTTAGGGTGTCTTTCGGGTCTCACTTCCCACCTAGGTCGACTTGTCATTGTTGGACTGGCCTTTTGGCCGAGTTTTGCCGTTAGAGTCTGCTTGTCTCTCATGCGCCAGTATGTGTGGCGGTGGAAAATTTTAATGTCGCTGTCGGTATGCTTGGATTTTCGTGCTCTACCTTCTTTTTGAATTTCTGCTGATTTCTTGTTGTCAGGTTTGATCCTCCTAGGAGTTTTGTTTGTATCCAGGCTTTTCTCATTCAATTTTTAGTTTTCTTGGAATATAAGGGAGCATTTATGATCTTAGTTCCGTGTTCGAAATTGGTGCTTTGAAAACCTTTGGTTATTTTTTTGTTAATTGTGTATTCTTGGTAATTTTGCACTACGGATAGCTGAGTGAACCCAAACACCTATTACTACTATTGCAGTCGAAGGGAATGTAGCTACATGTCTTGTAATTAAAGGATTTAAGTAGATTATTGATTCTAGCGCTTCAGGGTAATTCAAACTTTTCATCTACTTGTCACCAGACCTCCTATTCATGTTGCTATTTCCATGGACCTATACCTTGGGTTCTCGGTTCCATTCTAGCGAACTTACACCCTCTATCTTATATCTTTCTACACTATAATTTCACCTTGAACATTTTACTCTTGAGCAAACTTACAAATTCTAAATATTGTAGCATTTCATTTTTCCATTGTGTCCTGCATAATCTTCCGATGAACCAGAAGATTGGTAGAGGACGTGAATCTGATGGAGTTTATGTTATGGACATTGTGGAACCAAAATTTCTAGTTTATACCTCTTCGACACTTGACGACACCGTTGCCTGGGCCATTCTTCCCTCCAAAACCTGAAAGAAACTTTGTTTACAGTTTCAGCACTTTTATACTCTATTGTAAATCATTTGAGTTCGCTGAACATTCTTGTACTACGTTAGGTCCTAGGATAAACAAGTGAGTTGCTTCTCCCTCAATGGTGGTTGATTCTCATGTTTGGGACCTCGTTTTGTGTCGTCTATATCTGAATATCCGATACTTTGATACATTTATCGATGATTTTCTCAGGTGATATGGATTTATTTCATAAAAATTGGTTTATGGTCTTTCAATCAACATTTCTCCTCCTCTTGTGCTGAAATAAAAATCAAGTTTCCGCTGCTATTCCAACATTTTGTCTTGATAATGCTAAAGAATTACTTTCTATAGATTTTCAGTCTTACATTATTGAAAGTAGAATGTTATTTTATAGGCAAAGTGGTAACTCAAAGGTAGAATGCTTTACGGGTCCCAAAGCTGATAGTTCAACTTTTAGATATTTGTGTCTGTTAGAGGTAATCTAGTCTCGTGGAGAAGCGGGAAACAAAATGTTGTTTTTTGTTTACTTGTTGAGGTCTGTCTATGGCCGATCTAGTATGTGAAATTTTACGGATACACCTGTTACTAGTCGAGCTAAGCTAGGATTAGAGAGCTTAATCTTCCAACAAAACTTTAGTGTGACAACCAAGCAACGATCCACATCTCATCGAATTTGATATTTAATGAATATACCAAACATATTGAGGTAGTTGGTCTCTTTGTTTGTGACGAATTCGAAGAAGGATTCATCTCGACAAGATATGTTCAACGTTTGTAACTAGCTGGGCATAATTGATACATATGCCTCTGGTTGATGGGGAGTGTTGATGTATATGTGGAATAGATTGGGGATTTTTTTTTTATTAATATTCCTTTTCTAGTTCGCACCTAGATTTTTATATGTACCAGTGTACCTTGTACCTGTGATATGAATTATTGAAATCCGTTCTCTGCAAAAAGTTCTCCACAATCTCTGCCTGCTACAGGGGTCTTATGGATGCCATTTGACTGCAGAGAAGAGATTATGAAATGGTATAATTGTTCCATTTTGTGGGTTACCTAGTTTTGTCCCATACTGATGCATTTTCTTGGATTCTGTTTTGCATGTAATCAGATGGAATACTTTTATTTTTCTAATTTGGTGATCTGTTGTCATCGGTTTCGTAATTTTAGAGCAGGAATACTGCCCACTTGATTCCCAAGAATCAGAACACATTTTAACTTAAATTCCCTTATCAATAGTGTCTAGATTACTTGTATACACTTTGTTAAGAAGTGGTCTACTATCTTAAACTGCAACTGATATCATCATATCTACCTCAAGAAACACATGTAACTCCTTACAGTGATGAAAAAGAAGTGAGTTGACTACACATCTATGAATGGCAAACTGAGATGATGCCTCTTTTTCAAACTGAATTGTATCTAACCTTTT